ACCCCAGTAGAACACTCGCCCCCCACATTATAAAGCCATGGCTCATGAGAGGGTGGGCGTGCGGTCAGGGTTATCAGGAGAGTGCTCAGTCCCTGAAATGCTGCAGACGGAAGAGTCCGGGGTGATACCACAAGAATGAATCTCTTACTGGAATCTCCAGCTCACAGTGGAGGAAAAGATAGATAATTCGTAAAGAGTTGGGAGGGAGACGGAGAGGGGGAGAGAAAAGTAATAGAGTAGGTAAGGAAGGAGAGAGAGAGGAGCAGAGGAGGGAGAGGGGAAAGAAGAGAGGGGAAGAGAGGAGGGTGGGAGAGGGAGGAGAGGGGGAAAGAGAGTGAAGAGATGTGAGAGTGAGAGAGGGCGAGAGAATAATAGAGAGAGAGAGATGGGGAGGAAAGAGAGAGAGAGAGATGGGGAGGAAAGAGAGAGAGAGATGGGGAGGAAAGAGAGAGAGAGATGGAAAGGAAAGAGAGAGAGATGGAGAGGAAAGAGAGAGAGAGATGGGGAGGAGAGAGAGAGAGAGAGAGAGAGAGAGAGAGAGAGAGAGAGAGAGAGAGAGAGAGAGAGAGAGAGAGAGAGAGAGAGAGAGAGAGAGAGAGAGAGAGAGAGAGAGAGAGAGAGAGAGAGAGAGAGAGAGAGAGAGAGAGAGAGAGAGAGAGAGAGAGAGAGAGAGAGAGAGAGAGAGAGAGAGGAGAGAGAGAGAGAGAGAGGAGAGAGAGAGAGAGAGGAGACAGAGTGAAAGAGAGTGGGGAGAGGGGGTGACAGCAAATGGAGAGACGAGGAGAGCAAGAAAGGAGAGTGGGGTGAGAGGGAGAAGCGAGTAAGGAAGAGAGGGGTTGGGAGAGAGGAAAGTAAGAGAAGGTGGGACATAGTGAGGGAGAGACAATGGGAGAAGAGAGAGGAAGAAATAGAGGGGGGAGAGAGACAGGAGAAAGAGGAGCAAGCGGGAAGGCCAGAGAGGAAAGTAGAGAGAGGGGAAGAGAGAGGAAGATGGAGAAAGATATATGAGAGAAAGGGGGATATGAGAAAGAGATAGGGAGAGGGGAGAAGTGGAGAAAGACTATTGTAATCTGCACAGTAGCACTCCTGCTGGAAGAGGGAGGGGTGGCAATCAGAGCTGGGCACCGTACTATCAGTGTTGATCTCTGGTGGATGGTTGTATTCCATGTTTACTTGTAGAATAAAGGGTTTTATACACATAGTAACAAAAAATAATAAACCATTAGAAATTTAAAAACACATTCATAATAAATTAAAGGTTCACACCAAATTATTATAATTGTATTAGTGATCCAAGTAACCAAACCAAAAGTTTAAAGTGTATCTAAACCCAAAAACAACAAAGAGTCATATATGCAGCTTACTAGTCCTCAGATGTGGCTGCATGCGTTATCTTTTCCTAGGCATTTGTTTCTGATGATTCTGCCCAGAACATGCGGCCTGTCTTGGGGTGGCAATGGTCACTCATCTTACATCATCTTTGGAGGGGCAGTTGTCATCCTAGGATCCTGTCCTCATTTAGACTATAAACACCTCCCTTTTTCTTATTTCCATTGCATGGAGGGGGTGTAATCCACAGAAGATAGCTGGGAAAAGTGATACCAATGTTTGAGATTTCAGCTCAGATCACAGGAAGTGCCCAGGATTCCTGAATTCTGGCAGGATCAGCAGAGATC